CCAAAAAAGATACTTTTTTTCACATTGCAAGCCACAGTTTCAAAATTAGGATGCTGCTCGTGTCTTTAGACGAACTTGAATCCACAAAGGCGCCCTTTAGTTCCTCTCTTTCACTCCCCTTTTTTAGTCCACACTCCCTGTCATTAAATGGGTGTCTAACTGACCAGGATTATCAAGTAAAAAGATTAGATCCGGGCCAACATGTGCCACGCTTTACAGGCTCTTTATCACAGAAAATCAAAGTAGTAGTGGTGCTTTTATCCAGTGGCGTCACTTCTAATCTGATTTGAAGACTTCTTTTTTTCTTTTCATCAGCAACATGAAACAAATCACCTACGAGTATATATTTTTTTCATAATCCTGTCTATAATACCTGATTAAAGACAAGTGTGATTATGTCTCTCTAACATGGCTTTTATGTTGATTGTGTTGATACATGTTCAGGTCTACTCCTGTGAATTAATGTCCTGTAATGCTGCGGGACTGGCATGGGGTGTGTTGTCCATCCTCGATTGTCAGTGTAATCATTTAAGCTCCACAAAGTAGCTCACACTCATTTCAGTGTTGATTAAAAATGAATATCCGGACCTATCAAAGATTCTTTTTGTAAAAAGCCCATTTCCCGTATGATGATTAATGAATGGGACTGTTTTGCAGTGTGGGCATTCATCTTCAAAGGGCTCTAATTAAAAAGCATTATGGAGTCTCAGGAGCCCAATGCTAGTACCGACTGGGCCATTTGAGGCAAAGCAAATCAGGCCTTTAAGCCTTTTTTTTTTGTTTTCTGTAAAGCAACCCTGCAGTTTTTTCCAACTAAATCTAAAACTGGTCTTAATAAAACACAGTTAGATTGTTGGCTGCTGCTGTCATCCTTTAAGACACCTTGGACATCAGGACAAATCCTTTATCTGCTCTCATCTGGGAAATGCAGCCTAGGAAACAAGCACAATTTGTCTCTTATAATCCAAATCAGGCTCTGACGTCTGGTGTCAAACTTACACCCTCTCGTTTCTGCAGCGGGTCAGACACGAGGATGGATGGGGTTAAACGTCTACAGTAATTAGAGTCGCACTTATCGTCTCCCATTACGGAGCAGCGA